GGGGATTCGAACCCGCCACCTTAGGTGTATGTGGCTGGCGCCTTAGCCACTTGAGCCACAGGCACTGAGCCATATGTTCATTTCTAAGGTAAAGTTCAAGTTGTAGTTGAACCCTTCACCCAGGGGGTGTACTGTATGTGCTGTAAACCTTTACATTGTGCACATTAGGTGAGAGTTTACCAATCCTCTTCCTCTTTCCTCTTTCCCTCCCCCATCCCCGCTTGAATATGATTGTGTTTTTCTCTTGTGTGGGCATATAGTTATTTCCGTATTGGCTTCATATTAGTATTGAGCATATTGGATACTTGCTTTTTCATTCTTGTGATACTTTACTAAGAAGAATGTGCTTCAACTCTGTCCAGGTAAATACAAAAGATGTAAAGTTTCCATCTTTTTTGGGGGGTGGGGGGACAGAGCCTCAAGCTGTAACCCTGGGTAGAGTGCTGTGGCATCACAGCTCACAGCAATCTCCAACTCCTGGACTCAAGCGATTCTCCTGCCTCTGCCTCCCTATTAGCTGGGATTACAGGCGCCTGCCACAATGCCTGGCTGTTTTTTGGTTGCAGCTGTTATTGTTGTTTCGTGGGCCCAGGCTGGATTTGAACCCGCCAACTCAGGTGTACGTGGCTGGCGCCTTAGCCGCTTGAACCACAGGCGCCGAGCCAAGTCTCCATCTTTTTATGGCTGGAAAGTACTCCATAGTTTATTAATCCATATACCACAGTTTATTAATCCGTTCATGGGTTGATGGTCATTGGGTTGATTTCATGTCTTAGTGATTGTGAATTGAGGTGCAGTAAACATTCTAGAGCAAATGTCCTTATGGTAAAATGATTTTTTTTCTTCTGGGTAGATACCTAGTGATAAGATTCTGGGATCAAATGGAAAGTCTACTTTGAAGCCCTCTGAAGATTATCTATATTCTTTCCATAGAGGTTGTATTAGTTTGTAATTTCACCAGCAGTGTAAAAGTGTTCCCTTCTCTCTATATCCATGCCCCATCTGTACCTTTGGAAAAATTATGGAACGCTTCACAAATGTACTTGCTATCTTTGGGCAGGAGCTATGCTAATCTCTGTATCATTCCGATTTTAGTGTATGTGCTACCAAAATGAGCACTGAAACTCATTTTTTGAAAACTGCTTGTCAGTTACCTCCTACTGTCCAGAAAGTTCAGTTTCTTCTTGCTCAGGGTCTTTATCTCAGAATCCTTCTATGTGAACTGTTTTCTTGAATTCTCAGTAGCCTAAAATCTCTCCTCCATAAGTTAATTAAATCTGAGTTTCATAGTGAGAATTACGCTAGACACTATCTAATTTGCTGTTTTACTCATAACTGTTTTTGCAATAAAACTGTATATTTACAAATTAACAATAAATAATTAAACTTAAGGCCAGGCATGGTGGCTCACGCCTGGAATCCTAACACTAGGAGGTCAAGGTGGGTGGCTTGCCTGAGCTCATGAGTTTGAGAACAACCTTAGCAAGAACGAGACCCTGTCTGTTAAAAAGAAAAAAATGTAGCTGGGCATTGTGGCAGGCACCTGTAGTCCCAGCTACCTGGGATGCTGAATTAAGAGGATCACTTGAGCCCAAGAGTTTAAGAGTGCTGTGAGCTATGATGCTATGGCACTGTACCGAGGGTAACAAAGTAAGACTCTGTCTCAAAAAAAAAAAAATGAATTTAGCATTCTTATTTTATAGATGATGTGAGGCTTGAACACTATGACTTTGAACTTTTTTTTTTTTTAACTTTTGAACTCTTAGAGCTCTTCTTGTTTATTTCTTGTGTCTTATATATCATGGCCTGTGTTAACTTTATCTGGGGTTATACTTATTTGAGTATACACTTTATCTACCTGTCTAGATTATAAATACCTGGAGGGTAAAGACTGTTTTTTTTTTTTTTTTTTTTTTGAGATAGAGCCTCAAGCTGTCCCCCTGGGTAGAGTGCCGTGGCAGCACAGCTCTCAGCAACCCCCAACTCCTGGGCTTGAGCGAGTCGCCTGCCTCTGCCTCCCAAGTATCTGTGACCACAGGTGCCCGCCACAATGCCTGGCCATTTTTTGGTTGCAGCCGTCATTGTTGTTTGGCAGAACCCGCCACCTTAGGTGTACGTAGCTGGCGCCCTAGCCGCCCGAGCCATAGGCGCTGAGCCAGAGGGTAAAGACTATTAACTCAATTATCACTTACAGTTTCTTAAACAGAAAGATGTTATCACTGTTATCCTTTATTGTGCCCATAAAGACAATAGAAGCCTAATTTCAAATATCCTTATATGAACACACTTCCATTTCCTTCATTACGTAATTGTTCTTTTCTAAGTCTTCCTAGCTGGGTGATACCTTTTTAAAAGTTTGTCACAGTTACAGAAGGCACCTTGCACATGTTGTATTCTTTGACTTAGAGTTTCCAAGTATCCTCCTGCCCTTTCCAAAGGATATCAGTAATCTATTCAGTGCAGTGCAACAAATAATAATTAAGTGCCTGACATTGTAAATTATTGTATTTGGCATTGTGAGTAAGAATTAATAATTTGTCAAGTAATTTATAATATAATAGCTACAGCAACTCTCACTGTACAAGAAAGAATATGAATGTAAGTGTAATCACTTCCAGTTTAACACTTGTGCTATATGGGACATAAAATTCCTTACAGTCCTTTACTTTTAGAGGGGGTACACATTAGCAAATGTATTTATAATACTGTTGGAACACAAAGGGTCTGATGGAGTTAAGGAGGTTCCCAGTGAATCTTTAGCAATCCCAAATCGGATTATTAATTTTTTAGATAATAATTTTAGTAATTTTTCTCAATCTTTTTCACTCTATACATACACCAGGTTGTGAATAATTAAGAAAAATAATTTCAGGCCGGGCGCAGTGGCTCATGCCTATAATCCTAGCACTCTGGGAGCTAGAGGTGTGTGGATCGCCTGAGCTAATGAGATTCAGACCAGCCTGAGTCAGAGTGAGACCTTGTCTCTAAAAATAGCTGGGTGTTGTGGCGGGTGCCTGTAGTCTCAGCTACTCTGGAGGCTGAGGTAAGAGAATCACTTGAGCCCAAGAGTTTGAGGTTACTGTGAGTTGTGACGCCACAGCACTCCACTGAGGGCAACATAGTGAGACTCTGTCTCAAAAAAAAAAAGAAAAAATAATTTCACACACAAAGCTTCACTTTCTGCAACAAATGTCATTCATATTTCACATTTAAATACTATATTTAATAATTATGTAGGTAATATGCTTATAAGACTGATTTGGCTTGTAGTTTAAGTGATAAGAGTATTCCATAGAATAAAAAACTATATGATTAAACAAACTTATGGACAATTAAATAAAAAAATCTTAGAAGTTACAGTGCCTTAAGAAAGAATTTTTTTGGAAAAAATATTTTAGTTACTGAAAAGTCAGATTGTTTTTTGTATTTGTAAAGCTGTTGTTGACAATTTTGCTTATATTCTTTCAACATTTTAGCTAATGTCAAAGCCTACCAATTGTTATTATGTGAAATGATAGTGTGAAATTGATGCTGTTATAGTATAACAATAAGGACGTGACTCATGTATTTTATGTACACAGGCATTCAACTGTAGTGACAAATGGCTTCATGCTGTGTGATTAAATGCATATTAGCGTTTGCCCTAGGCATTTGATTATTACCATCTTTACTTCATTACATTACCACACTGTATGGCCATATAATTTATAAGATAATACACACATCACTTTGTTGCTGATGGGAATTATTCTGTTTTATGGATGGTGTCCTTTAATTTTGCCTTTCATGGATTATAAAATTGGTTAATATCTGCTGAAGTGAATCACTGGAGAAGCAAATAAAGATGTTGGCCTCAGGTCACAGTGTCATTTGTGATACTGGCAAAATCTTACAGGCTCATTTATCCCTGTACATGATTGATAACAGCATGGCTTAAATGGACAAAGCTTTGCTTCCATTAAAGGATCATCATGAATGAAGACCTCCCACTTAAAAGTCAGGCATGATGAGAAGACAAGAGACTATCTACAGGTCAAATTAAATAACTTAAATAATTTAAGTAGAATGACAGTGTAATTTGTCCATTCTGTGTTATTACTCTGACCCCTATCAAGATTATAGGCTAACTTCCTTTCCACTGTAGAGTATTTAAGATGTAATTTTTAATAAATATCTTCAGAAATACAAAAACATTTTACCTCTTGTATTGTGAACAATATAGATTCTTGTTGTATAATTTTGAAAAAACATTAAGAAAACTGTAGTACTTGTAAAATATAAAATCAATAATATGATGAACCCCAAGGTAATGTTTTAAGCATTTTATCATATTTGTTTTATTTTAAAAATATACTTTTATAATGAAATAGTCATTATAAATAACAAGTATCTATTATATACAAATGTTTATTATATATTATAAAGATGTCAATGTTTATGAGTATTATTAGAAAAACAACTTTATTATAAATTACTATAAATAAATGAACAAGAGTTTATTAGTAAAAATTTGAAACCTGATGTTAAAAATAAAGATATAGTCAGCATTTTTAAATGGCTACTTTCTTATAGAGAATCATTGAATTTATTCAAATTGTGGTTCAAAATAGGGGAAGGTATATGCATGTTTGAAATGCCTATAATAAAAGCAATAATGAAATGTGAGAATATTCTGATTTGTTAAAAGTGAAAGTAGATGAAGTTTCAAATTAAAAATTACATGACATTTTTAGATGATCAGAATGTCATGTTTTATACATATAAGCATGCTCATTTCTTCTTCACTGGCTTTTGAACCCCTACCATAAGCCAGGACTTTATGTACTTTATGTATATTACCTTATTTAATCCTCACATCCTTTGAAATAACTATTATTATCCCTGATACAGGTGAAGAAACTTAAACCTTGAGTGGTCATGCAGCTAGTAAGAGGAGATAGGATTTTAAGGGTTTTTTTGGTAGTTTCTGGCCGGGGCTGGGTTTGAACCTGCCACCTCCGGCATATGGGGCCAGCAGCCTACTCCTTTGAGTGGTCATGCAGCTAGTAAGAGGAGATAGGATTTTAAGGGTTTTTTTGGTAGTTTCTGGCCGGGGCTGGGTTTGAACCTGCCACCTCCGGCATATGGGGCCTGCACCCTACTCCTTTGAGCCACAGGCGCTGCCCCAGGAGATAGAATTTTAATCCATATCGGTTGTAGATTATGATATAGGAATCTACAAAAATACTTAGATCTTTTTCAAAAGCGCATAACAAAATCTACGTTTTACCATACAACTTTAAAACTGGTGTACTTCTCACTTTGCCAAGCTGTCTATAACAACATTGTAAAATTGTTTTGATAGTGACCAAGAGTAAGAAATACATTTCACATTTTGATCTGGTATATATTCAAGTATTTACATTTACTCATGTAAAAGATCGCTGATTTATGTAATCTACTCTGTTCTGTTGTATTTCATCATATGGAATGATAAGCACAACTACACCAACTTACTATATCTTAGCCTATGATTCTGTACCATCTTAAAACATACATAGTAAAGTTTCCTCCTTCATTGTAGAAGTTATTTATTACTCTTCACAGAAAAAGAGAATGAAAGGGACAAAATTACGCTTTTTTTTTTTTTTTTTGTAGTTTGAACCCACCACCTCTGGTATATGGGGCTGGCACCCTACTCCTTTGAGCCACAGACGCCACCCCACATATTTTATTTTATTTTATTTTATTTTTTTGAGACAGAGCCTCAAGCTATTGCCTTGGGTAGAGTGCCATGGCATCATACCTCACAGCAACATCCAACTCCTGGACTTAAGCAATTCTCCTACCTCTGCCTCCCAAGTAGCTGGGACTACAGACGCCCATCACAACGCCCAGCTATTTTTTGGTTGCAGACGTCATTGATGTTTGTCGGGCCCAGGCTGGATTTGAACCTGCCAGCTCAGGTGTATGTGGCTAGCGCCTTAGCCACTTGAGCCACAGGCACCGAGCCACACGTATTTTATTTTTTATAAAATTTGTTTAGGAGTTCAGGAATCTACCTGCCATTTCCTCCTTTCCAGAGTGACTACTTTAAACTATTTTAGCTGATTCTTTGGACATTTATTTTCATATCTTTAAATATGCTCTTTTTTTTTTTTTTTTTTTGAGAAACAGTCTTGCTTTGTTGCCCTGGGTAGGGTATGGTGATGTCATTGTAGCTTACTGTAACCTCAAACTCCTGGGCTCAAGTGATCCTCCTGCCTCAGCCTTCTGAGTAGCTCGGGCTATAGGCACTTGACACAGCCTCTGGGTATTTTTCTATTTTTAGTAGAGATGGGGCTGGATGGAACTCCTGAGGCTTAGGCAATCCACCTGCCTTGGCCTCCTAGAGTGCTAGGATTATAGCTGTGAGCCACTGTGCCCAGCCTGATTTTTTTTTTTTTTCAAATATAGACTACTTCATGAATTTGTATGTATCCTTGCGAATGGGCCATGCTGATTTGTATGTATCCTTGCGAAGGGGCCATCCTAATGTTTGTATCATTTCAGTTTTAGTACTCGTGCTGCTGAAGTAAACACTGATACTAGTTTTTGACAAAACTTTCACATAAACATTTCCTGATATTGTAAACTTCAGACAGTTTTGGGAGGCAACATAGTGTAGTGGTTAAGAGTGTAACTTGGGATACAGATTACTGGGTTCCACTCCTTGCTATAAAGCTGGGGCAAGTTACTTACTTTCTCTGTGCCTCAGTTTTCTCATTTAAAAATGGAAATAATAATAGTAAACAAAGTTTGGAGAACTAAATATAAAGTGTTAGAAGAAAGTCTTGGATATGTGAAGTACCTAACACATAGTAGCCGTTATAATTTTAAATATTTACATATATTTCATTGGGTAGTGATAACTTAATTATTTTTCTGTTATTGGATGCTTCTAACTTATTTTGTTTTTATTACAAATATTTAGTAGTAAATAGCCATTAACATGAAATTTTTTCTGCATTTAGAATTTTTTTCTTTTGAATAGAAAAATTGGAGTCAGTGTAAATCTGTATAGTTTATGACTTGAGACATTTGAGATTGTTTTTCTGAAAGGATCGCTTCCATTTACCTTTCTCCCAGAACTCTTTGAATGCCTGCTTCACTGTTTTTTTATTCATGCAGTATTATTATTTTGTAAAAAGCCTTTGCTAATTTGGTAGGTAAAAATATGCTATTTTAATATATACTTTTTTTGATTACTAGAGAGGCACTCAATTTTAATCTAAAGAAGAACAGCATTTTATATTTTAGCTCATTTAGAGATGTATGGTAAGCTATTATGGAAAGCTGTTATTTATTAACCTGCATACATTCTTCCCCTTTCCTGCTAACAGAACCTGGCATTTCCCTAAGCAAGCCTCCTCTCTTTCTAAGGTACATAATATTTGTGAGATTAACGTGGATTGACCTCATCTTTAGTGCCAAAGTTTGCTTTTGAATTGTGCTTCTGTCTTTCCCAGAGCTCAGTAATTGGTTGAGGGATGGGAAAGTAATCCAGGTAGGCCTAAGTAGGGGACTTTAGGATTTTTGTCAGGTCACAGATTCTCTTTTTCTTGCCAGAATAAGGAAGTATGTAGCCCTAGTAGCTAATTATAGCTTTTTAGTATTAGGAATTGGTAGCTTATTGAATACAGCCAATATTAAAGGCAAACATTAAAAGAATAACATCCTTTTATGGTCACATTGCTTGCCTAAAGACAAACCTAAGTCTAGACTTTTTACTGCAATAAACCAATACATTTTCTTTTCTTTTTAAATCCAGTTTGAGTTGTTTTTTCTGTACTTGGAACTGAAAGTACCTGAATTAACTGGGTTAGTAGAAATGGTTGGGAAAGTTCTTCCTACTCTTTTTTTGCCCCACATCATGGCACAATTGGACGATAACACATTATTCATACAGTGCAGAGGGGCAGGTAGACAAAATTACTTTTGACCAATTGCAACCATTCTGGGTGCTTTGGTCTTCC